CAGTAGGCTCTCAGGGACATGGGTTTCTGAACAGTGGTCCCTGATCGTCATGTTCTTGACTTAGGTGGATGGAGGTGATCCGAAGTGCCACCAGCTCTGCCTCCCGGGCCCACGTGCTGAGTCACAAAGAATCTCACGTGTACTGATGGCAGGACACGTCTGTCGGTTTGTTCCGGCAGCGGCGCCTTTCCTGGAAGAAACCTTCTCCTGTATTAATGAAGCCTAGTAAAATTAACACCTGTCTGGAAAACAAAAACGTGGTTTCCCAGCAACTCTCATCTGTCTCTGCAGAGCCGTTTTTCACCTTGTCTTTTCAGCTGTTAATCTCTCATCTGAATGGGACCTCAGCCATCATTCTCTGGGTGGGCTGTCTTGAGCTTGTGCCAGTATTAAAACACTGTCATTAATAGAGTGCCAAATGACATTTTTCCCTCCACAACTGCACCTTAAAAGCAGTGTCAACACATCCATTCAACCAAAAGACAGGGCAAGTGCTCTTTTTCTTAGAAGATAAACACTTGATTTCTAGGCTGCTGCATTTTAAAAAAATGGATTTTCCAGTGTTTGTGATACACGTGGCACAGTCTTAAGCAAATGAGATCATTTTCAGATTTCGTGTTTTTCTTCCCAATCTTTCTACTTTTATAAATGATAGAACGTTAGTAAGGTTTACATCTTTGATTAACAAGCAATTTGCAGGACCCCACATTCCACTCGGGGCTTGTGCTCCGGTGAAACGCTGGTTCCCAGACCTGCTGCTTGGCACAAGTTGACCAAATTGTGTGATGACTATTTACAAGCTGTAGCGGGCTGTCTTCCTGTCACGGGAGGCAGGCGGCCGGCGCACCCTCGGGACCGTCAGTGTACTGTGCGTGGTATGTCCGGTGAAGGTAGTAGCTGTGCTGTTTTGCTGTCTGTTTCATGAGCACCTCTGTGTCAGTGACCGGCCGTTTGTGAGCTGTGACGTCCACGCGGGTCTGGGAGCCTCCGGCGGCCGCAACTGCACCATGGGGCGGCGTCCTCCGGCTCCCGTCCCCGTCCCTCGAGCTCCCGTGACTGTGGTTTGGAACTGCACCCTCCGTAGTGGTAGATACCGTGCCCGTCTCCAGAACTGTTCTTTTCTCCTTACACTCATTCCCCCGGGCCTGGGGTATGGACCGTAGGACACTGCACATCCTTAATAGTCGGACAACACAGGGAACAGGGTTCATTAACCGCTGGGCCCGCCAGTCAAAATCCATTTGCCTCTTCTCTGTGGGGAGTGGGTGGCTGCTGGTCCCTGCGTCTTGTTAAGCCCTTTCTGATGCAGACCCCAGAGGGGGTGACCCCCCCCACCACACTTCCCTTCCCCGAGACACACAGGGCAACCCCGACTGTGGAGCCGTGACCGGCGCACGTGGAAACGGCAACACACAAATGGATGAGTAGCTTGAGATGTGTTAATCATTTGCCTTACAATATGTACCAGATGGTTCTACGTACTAACAAAAGGGAATAAAAATACCTCACGCCACAATCCAGCATATTGAAGTTTTAAGGCAAAACCACCAACCTTGTCTCTTGTCTTTAATCGCATCTAATGCGGGTGTGTCAGGGAGGGGCGGTGGGCTGGTCACTGCTGGGCGAGTGTCAAAGAACAGACGCAGCTGCTCAGGGAGACCGACAACGTGTCTGGGAAACTTGCATTTTAGTTCCCCTGCTGCTTCAGCCTGGGGAAGCAGAACTAGGAGGCTGACCGTCCAAGGGGACAGAAGACAAGGGGAGAGCCCAGTGGGCAGCGAGGGGCTCCCTCTGCTTTCTAAAAAGGGCCCTGAGGCTCCTCCCACACCTGGGGGCCGGAGCCCTGGGGCTGGGAAGCATCTGTCCCCAGTCCCCAAACAGCTGAAATGGCAAAATCAAATTCTCCCTGCAGAAGTCACACCTGTCACACAACTTACTACAAGACCCCGTCTGCTGCTCCCGTCCGTGACTCATACCCATGTTCCCCTGCAACTTCAAAGAAAACCTAAGTCCAAATCATGTGGGTAATGTAGACTAAGCTGCCAGAAACACAGAGTTTTAGCGATACCCTGTCTCAGTCCATGCAGGCTGCTGTAACAAAAATACCATCGATTGGGTGACTTATAAACAACCAAGTTCTCTCTCAGTTTGGGAAGTCCAAGATCAGGGTGGCAGATTCAGTGTCTGGTGAGGGTCCACTTCCCGGTTCATAGACGGCCATCTTCTCTCTGTGTCCTCATGTGGCGTAAGGGATGAGGGGTCTCTGTGAGATCAGGGCGCTAATCCTAGTCCTGAGAGCTCTACCCTCACGACTTCACCCCAAAGACTCCCACCTCCTGACAACAGCACACAGGGGCTTAGGGTTTCAACATATAAATCGGGGTGGGGGGCGCGGGACACGACACCACAAGACACCTATTCCCTCAACACACAGAAGTAATTGTTTCTGGGAACTTTACTGACCCCTGCATGATAGACCCTGTGCCTAAGAACACACCTTGCAGCACGCCTCAGTTATCGCCATATTTTATAGCAGAAATACACACACCATGTTCTCAAGGAAGAAAGTATAAAAATGCTGATAAACAGACCATATGTTTTGCCAAAAGATAAAATGCTGCATAAAAGAACCGAACCAAACACTTTGAAAGACCAACTGGAAAATAAAACCGTCCAATTCAGAAGGTGTGTGGCACTTGGGTACAGGGAGACCATCACAAGACTGAGGTGTTGCAGAGCCAGGGCCCCCAGACCACACCGGTAGCCACCTCGCTTCGTGCAGCCAGCCAGACACGAAAAGACAACTTCAAAGAGGTGTAAACAGCCAGTCAGCCCAATGCCTCCGCTTCCAAGAGGCCGTCATGCCTGACTGAAGCCCCCGCCACCTGAAGTGGAGGCAGATAAGGCACGATCAACTCCCCTTGAATGCCAAGTTCACAGGTCTGGCTGCACACCAACAGTGGTTCAATTGCCCACAGTGGGTGCTGTTGTAGCCCTGGTACCTGGTCTGTCTTTTAAGAAAGGACCCGGAGTGGACAAATGCTAGCCTCCTTGGCTAAACAAGATGCCCTTAAAAACACATCAGCTGATTCTGTTTGTCTACAGCAAGTAACAAACCAGGAGAGACTGTATGCGGCGGTGCTCCACTTTCAAACACCATTCAAACCACATCTTCCCCAAGAAGCTTCATCAACAGAAGCCATTTCCGTAAACTCAGTAACGTGCCGCTGTGTCAGACAGCGCCGCGTGCTCTCACCGCCCAGCCGACGCACAGCATCTATTAAGCATTCACACCACTGTGTGGTTGGAATCCAGTCTACCGTCCGTGTAACCACTCCTCCTGCTTGAGGCTGGCATCGGCATCAGGTCTGGACACTGCTGCCCACGCGCACATCTGGAACGGAAAGCTGCCGTCCACGTGGGCTCTGCAGGACGAGCTGCACGTGCGGGGAGATCAGCTGCTTTTCCCTGAGGGAGTCTTTCTCCAGCCACAGACAGAACTCACCTTTGGCTTCTGCTCACACAGGGACACAAACAGCTCCCTCACACGGAATACTCTCCCAAACAACACGAAACATTCTCAGTTTTTACCATTCAACTTGAACAGTCCTGCTGCAAAAAAACATGCACAGGAATGAGCAGTTCGGTTCTATTTCCTCTAAGCAAAATGTATCCCTTATAGAAATTAATGCCAACCCAAATCTACTTGCAATTTAAAAAGCACAGCTTACTTTAAGAGTTTAAAAACTAGACTCCATTCCAGTAACAATCTCAGCAAAAACCACCCAAAAACATCTCTGGCTCAGGCCTTGGTCCTCCCCCATCACTGAGCCAGATGACTGACCTTCTGTCCCCAGTAACTTCCCTGTTTCCAAAAATCCTTTCTTTGTATTCCCCGTCAGGAACTACTACTCCAACAAGTCATGACAGTGGTTCACATCAACAAATATGAGAGGCTGCCACACGTACTCGAGTCAGGGCAGAACTGCTTCGAGAACTCTTATTTCCCCTCCCAGGGACCACCAACCCCCGTGTCAGGCAAGCAAGACCCTGCCACAAGCCAAGAAAAATACAGACCCTGAGCTGACAAACCAGCGGACAACAAAGCAGCCCTCCAGCGAGGTCCCTGGGAAGACAGAGCAGTTTCACAAAAATCAGCAAAATTCACCCATTCCTTCTCAGGACCGTTTTTTAAAGTTGCAGAGCGAGCTGACCGGGACACGGAGCACTGTGAACGTAGGCACTCCTTCCTGGTGCCACACAAACGCACACACACACACACACACACACACACACTCACTCGGCAGGTACACTGCCCTCGCAAGAGTCACGTTCCAAGAAGAGGGTGCAAAATAAGTGTGTTACAAAATTTATTTGTGTAAGCATTCAGACATTTTTAGGTGGGAAAGATGATATGCAGATTTCACTACAAGGTGCAACAGAAAATCATACTGAAAGGACGCACAGCTGGCGCAGGACTGGCAGTGGCACGATTCCAAACAAATGTCAGACGAGAGAGAGAACGCTTCGTCGGGGAGAAATTTAAAAATAATAATTTAAAGCTTCATGAGGCAAGGTATGTTCCAATTTAAAACACTAAGAAATAGTACCATCGATGAAAAAAGAAATCAACTTCTAAGTGTACCAAAAGGGCAAACAAGAGGAAAATTTGCATCGGCTGAGGTACAAATATAGGAGTGTTCCACGAGAGGGGCATTAATTATTATTAATGGCAAACCCTGCAAATACAAAATAAAATCCAAATCACTGGTCACATAATTCAAAATTTACATGTAATAAAGGCAAGGCAATAGACTCAAGTTATGGCCTGTCGAATATTTACTCCACTGACATTATCTACAGAAGCACTTGGCCAATTTGTACACAGTGATTCCTATGCACGCCAAAAGGGGTTCCGTAAAAATGACACTATATACAATCTGTACACTGACCCACCAGAGCGGTTCTCCGTCTCCCGGGGAGGGGGAGTCATCAACTTAAAGCAGGATACCTGAGGTTTCATTTCTTCAGTTGCCTTATCATAATCCCAAATATACATTTCAGGGCTTACTTTTTGTTTTTAAAGACACTTTCCTTGATATGTGCACTACGGTTAAAATTAAAAACAAGAAAAATAAAATAATCGCTGGAAGGAGCTGCCCCTCCCCGCCCCACCCGGAGACGTCGTCAGGCCGAGGCCAGCGAGGGGCCACGTGGCCGGGCCGGGCGACCTCGCCGGGCGCACGGCCCCCCGAGGGCGTGCCTCTTCAGCGGAGTCAGCAAAGGCTCTCATTGACTTTTAAGAAGGAGGATGAAGAGGAAAACAAGGAAAAACAAAACCCCAAACGCCAAAGGAATTTCAGTGGGACGAAGTTCCTCCACCAGTGAGAGAGTATCTAGGAAAAAACAGACAGAAGGAAATAAATGTCATTTCTCTAAATTAAAAATATTAACTTGCAAAACTTCAAACAATAACTGAAATCCTACTTTCTATAGGCAACCCCAAGTCGCAAACAAATTAAGCAGCACAAGTCTAGTTATTGCATAAAGAATTCATAAAAATTAAGAAAATCATGATTCCAGCGCTAAAAACTTCTCACAGATAAGTTAACAAAAACTGACAATGTGCGATGCCTCCCAAGAGAGAGGAAAAAAGAGAGGTGAGTAAAGTAGTTACTGATATACCTTTACTTACAATCAGTTTTTAAAAACCAGAAAATCAGTAACACCCAATGACCCGTAAGATCCCAGGGAGGCGCGCCATGCCGGTTTGAGGATCTGTGCGAGAGACCCTTTGTGACCACAGAAACAGTGGTGCTTAGCAGTTCACGTAATTCGCTTCCTAGAACCGTTTCCTACATTTTTTGTAATTATAATAAGTAAGAAGCAATTCCGATGTCCAACAATAGAGAAATGGTTAAGTAAATTAAGCAAGCTCAGTGAAATAACACAACTGCAGACATGTTTAAGTCTAATGAACAATACACACGGATAAGAAGTGAACACAAAATCACACATGTGCAGGTTCACCCGGTGACCTGTCCACAGCAATGGAAGGCCGCCCACCAACACCACGACGACGGCCGTGGGGCTAGAGGGGTGGGACGGGCATGCTCTTCCACTCCACAGTATCTCCACACAACTATCTTTGGAATATAAAAAAATGCGGGGAAGGTCCCTTCATGGCCAAATCCCCTGAGTCACAGGAGACGGCTGAGGACGAGTTTCTGGAAACTCACTGCAGACAGTCCAAACTAGAGCTCCTCTTTGAAGGTGTTTAAAGTACGGGGCACTCGTCCAGAGAACAGACCAGAAAAGCACTTCAGCCACAGACGCCGAGACTCATCTTTCAAGAAATGCAAATGCCTAAGTCACAGGAGGAGCTGGTGCCACACACAGGGACCCACATGTCAGTTCAAACTAAGACACACATGAACTTCTGAAAACGCATCCGACAAAAGCTGGTGCTCCCGTTTCCGAGGCGTCCCCGGGAGAGACGCATCTGGGAGCAAAGCGGGTGTGAGGTGCGAGCAGCAGCCCCTGTGGACGGGGACACACGGGGAGAGCTCGGAGGGCCTGAAAGGGACCAGACGGGGACAAACCCCCCGGAGCACAGTCGTCTGGTGGCTGAGGAGACGGTCACATGTCCTGAAGGACGAGAGAACTGGAGAGAATGGGAAGCAGAGTGTGAACAGCGAGCCGACGGCGGGCAGCTTGTCTGTGTCCCGTGGAAAACGCGACACCTGGGAAGTGGCGCGTTCACAGCGACTCAGGCGGCTGACTGTGAAACACACCAACTGCAAAGACTGAGCCCCACAATGGAGGCCAAAGGCCTGACTGGTGACCGTCTACGCTGATGGCATTCTGAGATAAGATTCTGACGCAGTGGGTTAAGAAATCTATTATTAAAACAAATTTTACGTGTTCCTTTTTTTAAAAACCATTTTTTAACGTGGCCACTAGAAAATCTAAAACCACACGTGTGCCTCGCAGTGTCCTTCTATTGGACCGCGCCGGAAAAGATCGCCGTACATGCCAACTAGAGGAAGGGAACAGAGACACAGATCAGTTAAACCCGCACAGGCCACCGCAGCCACACCACCTGTGCCCGGAGCTGCAGGGCAATCAAGCCATATGTAGACGTTGTCAGTAACAACTTCAGGCGATTCGGGACAACGTGGAAAATGTCTGTCCTAAGAGCGACACCACAAACGCGAGAAACAAACCTGAAGTCAGAACGGGTTTCTGGTCTGGTTCTACGTGTTTGACTTAAAGGATCTCTTTAATGAGAAATAAATGCCGCCAGAATGAGGTGTGGAGTGGTTCCAAGTTTCTTGAGAAATCAGAAAAATGGACCACTATTAATTAACAGGAGAAAGTCTATGTGGTACCGTCACAGGATAAAACATTCAAGGGGTATTATAACAAAGCTGTTAGAAATGTGATTCACACATACTGGATGGACACATAAACGTGGTAAAAACAACGATGTGTGGGTGAGCATATGGGAGACGTTTTAATTCTATTTTCCTTTATTCCTGTAATTTGTTGTAAGAAAAGTGGGAAGGAGGAGGGGTGTTACCCAAAACGCAGACCTAACTCCTTCAAGTGCCTCAAAATCGAAGGCAGCCGAGTACACAGTCCTTACGCTCTGGCCTAGAGGTGCGGGCAGGTTGGGACAGTCTTACGAGGGAGCCTGAGCTCCGGAGACCAAATCTGCAGGGTCAGGACTGAGGTTTCTGAGTCGCACTTTAGAGGGGCCCCTCCCAGGGCAGCGGGCAGCCCCTTCAATCACCACTTCCACACGGCAGAAGTGACCCCACAGGCCCCAAACTGCTCTACGTGCTGGCAAGTCAACATCTCAGAAAAGACTGGAGACGCCCGCTCTTAATTCTCGTCCAGACCAGCCGTTCTGTGGAAGGGGCTCGGCAGCTGGGACGATTCACCGGGAAGGCCAATACATGCCTGGGGTTTGGGTAAGAGAGAAAGGTGTGGGGTGTGGAGAGCTCGGGCTGCTGGACGGTACACCCCTACTCTCTCCAAACACCCCTAAATGACCGCACACTGGTGACCTCCTCCACAGGGAGGCTCCTCAAACATGCTTGAGAGAGCAGGCGGGGGTCCGATCAGCACCCCCACTTCCTCCTCACCCTGGAGCACATGGCACCAGGCCCACTGGTGGGGACAGGGAACTCCCTGCCACCAAAACAAGGCTTCCTGAAAAAAGGCAGAGCTGTGAACAGGCAGTCACACCAAACAAAAGAACACAGTAAACTCACTGAGTCCCAACTTCCAGCGTTTCTGGACACCTGACTTCAAAGCATAAAACCCAACAGAGAGTTACAGACATCTGGCTCTGGGCGCACTCCTCTGGCTGCTCATGAGGCCACCAGGAGAGCAGGCAGGTGTCCTAAAACCATCCTGTACTTATGTGACAATAGCTACGACCACAAAGTTCTGGGGTCCTTCCCAGCAGCTTCCAGATTCAAATGGTTCACCCACATTGACTTCTCAAATTCAGAAGAAAAGTCTCCTCTCACTGGGTCCTGCCTCTACCTTGTGGCCTGGGAGGGCACAGGCACAGGCTGGAACAAAGCCCAAATGACTGCTGCAGAGCCACCAACCCCCCCCCCTCGCCACCTGTCCCCACGGCACCCACCTCTGCAGCCGCTGCACCAGCTGGGCCACCATGGTGTCAGAGATGCCAGGGCTGGCCTCCTCTGCCAAGTAGATGGCCCCGCGCAGCTCTTCTATGGACCCCAGGTGGCCTCCGCACGCCTGGCTCTTCTCCTTCAGCTGAAAAAAACACAGACGTGGACAACAGCGTGACACACCTGAACACAGGAAGGATGGCAACTGTCTCAAGAGTCACATGCCGTGCGGCCCGGTCACCTCGGCTCCCTGGAGGCTGAGAGCACTAAGGCGAGGAAAGGGCCTGAGTCGGACCGAGGTCACTCCCTTCCCCAGGGAAGGACAGACGACCAGCTTCATGTGCACCTTCTCAGAAGGGGATCCCGGCAGCTGCCCTCTGCTTTCTTTTTCCATTTCCCCCGCATCTCACACCAGAAAAGCCCTCTGGTCTCCACACTAAAGCTGCATGCGCGCCTCCCAACGCTCATCCCCTGAGGTGAATGAGCTTCAGCCCCCTGGGACAGCGACTTTTTAGGCTAGAGTCCTGCCAGAATGTTTCATTTCATGTAAATGAGCAGTAGCCCTAAATCCTGCGAGTCCTCCGTGTCCCTCTCAGCACACTGTTCCCACAGGAAACCCTGACTGTCCTCAGGCAGCTCTTGTCTTTCTAGGATGCGCCCCGAACACGCCAGGTGGAAGGGGGGCTGCTCTGGCCAGGACGCAGCACCGAGGGACCCAGAGCCACTGGAACCAGCTCCCTTAGCGGCCGTGGGGACCACCGACCTGGCCTCTAGCCTGGCCTCCCCTCGGGAGCCCCTCCTCCATCTCATCTTCAAGAAACAGTGCACAGAGCACTCAGCCGTGGCTTCTCAGGCCATTGGGACCACATGCCATTATCCCCGGCTTCTCCCCTCTCCCAGCTACAGGGACAGAAAGGAACCGGGAGGTCGTCTGCTCAGCACCTCCCAAAGCGTCTGTCCCCGAGTCCCACCCTGTGTGTCACCGGACATGACACAGTCGACCTGGAGACGTCTGTCTGGGACTCCCCACACCCCATAACGTTAACAACGAATCCCAACAGGCTTCCCAAGTCCCGAGCTGCGCCCGCTCTGCTCCCTCCCACCTCCTGCAGCTTCGCCTGCCCACCTGGCCTCCTACGCCCGCGGGAGCCCCCGCCCCCTGGAGGCCGCGGCTGGGCTCCGCCCCACCCCCACCCGAGGGAGCCCCGCCGAGGGAGTATTACACCAACGATGCACTCTCAACACTCCGAACACGAGGTTAGCAAACAACAATAAAAACACACAGGAAGAGATGCCTTTGAGTTTACCTTTAGCACAGCTGAAAAAAATCAAAATATTATTATACTTAGATTAGCTCATTAATTCTGAAACATGACTTCAGAACAGTTTTTTTTCCATGTGCCCAATAAAAAACAGACGGCTTCAGACAAACGAGAAAACCTGTGCCGTTTTCCCGAACCGCCTGACTGATCCCAGTAAAGTGTGAGGTCAGGGCCGTAGGAAAGCAAGGGAGCCTCTGGAAAACCTGAAGGGCTAATGGCCCAAAGAAGCTAACCAAGCGTGAAACGGGGTCCCACGGGTGTCCCAGGAAGAGCGGAGGGCCTAGAAAAACCAGCCGAGGCTGCGGGCAGAGCAACCCGGGCCTCCGCCTGCCCTGCGGCCGTCACCTGCCCACCCGGACCCGGTGCAGTAGGTAGTTTCAACCCCCACGCCAGGCTCCAGCCACTGCCCACCAGCTGAGCCCCGACTCGCCAGGCTGGAAGGGCTGGAGGCGCGACAGGCCAAGCTGAGCAAAGGGATGAGACCGCAGGCGGCCTCCCTTTCTACCGTAGACCACCCACCTCCAGCCCACAGCCCTCTGCTCCAGCTGCCCTGAGAGCCCTGCGTCACCACCCAAACAAAAGGCACTGAGTGACTCATTCTGAATTATCTTAAAAGGCAGCCTGAGCCCGGAAAGGGGCACAAAAAATAACAGAAAGTGGTATTTCCAACCTATTTTCCATTAGCGACCAACCAGAGAAAGGATAACGTTCATCTTCATGAAACCCACTCTTGAAACATCTCCACGTGTAGCCGGCATATACATACTTAGGGGAGTGGGGGCCTGAGAGGGGACAGGTGGGGCACATGGATGCAGTCGGTCATGGAACGGGGAACAGTGGCTGCTCACCCAGCAGTCCAGGGGCCCTGCAGGGCGAGGTGACTACCCAGGAAACACAAGGACTTAAGGGACTCCGATGTGTCCTTTAAAGTAAAAATCCACTTTCCACATCTCCATACATGCATCTGTCTGAGGCAGAGAGGCTGCACTCAACTAGGTTTTATAGAAAGCAGCACAACTGAAGCCAAAGTCGCCCGGGGAACATAAGGGCTGGGGTTGGTCGCTGGCGTCCCATCTGAACACTCCCAGCAGTGGCACAGCGACACGTCCCAGGAGAGGGTGGACGGAAGACGGCCCCAGGGAAAGCAGGAGGCGCTCGTGGAAGGCCGAGCCCCACCCCGGCCGGGCTCTAGGAGCACAAGGCACCCTCTCCACCCACGTGTGCCAGCTGCTCCTATTACCCCAAACCCCACGGCCACACTGTCACAGAGAAAGTGCCCCTGTCCCCACGTCTTCCCCTCAAACCTCCCCCAAAAAGTCAATCGGGTATCTTACCTCTGCAAATAGAGGAGAAATAATCGTAGATAAACACTGAGAGAAAGGCCTCTTTGGGATGTCTTTCATCTTTGGGGGAGAAAAAGGTAATTAGAAAAATGTAACATTCACACTTGCAATAATTCAATGAACTTAGACATGCGTTTGCCGTAACACCTGAGTAGGGCCACGGAGCACCGACCCGAGTGCAAGGGCACCGGGGGGCCGGGAAGGGCGCCGCCGACTGGGCCCTGCAGGTGACGACGGCCTGGAACGGGGCTCCAGCCGGCGCTGGCTGCCTGTTTTCTCTCCTCAGCCTGCATGTGAACAAAGTGATCCGACCTGCTTCTCAAAGCAGGCCTGGTGGGATCACCAGGGCACAGCCACCGGTCTGCATGGCCGCAGGGAAACTACACCACTGACTGTGCTTTAAAAAGATCCTAAAAATATAGCTTTTCATAAACTGAAACAGGCACGAAACCAAATCAAAATTAAGTTTTACTTAAGTACAAAAGCAGTATTTACTTTTAAGACTCCTTAAATAGAACTTAATCCCAAAATTATGGTGCCTGTATGAGTAACATCAATATTCAACAGACAGAGTCCCATCAAGAGAGCTAGAAAGTCATTTCAAAGGTGAAACCCGCCTCCCTCCGCCCCACACTGTACGTCCAAGTGTCAGGAAACGCTGATCTGACAGCAACGCCGGAGAGAAATCAGCACTGCAGAGCAGACCCAAGTCCAGACTCGCGGGTCTGACTCGCTGGGTAGTCAGACAGAACATAATCTCTTGATCTGCCAATTCCCTGACAGCAAAATTCCACAACAGGCTGCCATGAGGGACCACAAAGCCCACGGAAACAGCAGGCTTCACACAAAAATGACTCCAAGACGCTGCTGACTGATGACAAGTGTTAGCCACTCTGGATGAGCAAACATACCTTATTTCTTTCTAAATCCGATGGCTGAAGAGCTCCGTTCTCAAGACTCTTTGGATCTTTCTCCCGGATGGTGAAGATCCAGTCCCCAGAGTCGCTGCCTCCGGATGCTTGGCTGTCTGTGTCCGTTTCCCTTAACACAGAAATCCGGGTGAATCCAGGGGCGAGGATAGGGGACGGACGACGGAGTCACAAGACCCGCCAGCCTTAGCCCACCTTCCCCACTGAGCATCAACGCCACCCAGCGGCCCGTGCCTGGGCTCCTGCCTCACCCCCACGCTCCGCACCGGCTCCCATCTTCTCCACCCACACCAGTCCCTCCTGGGCTGCAGAAGCCGACCTTGCCTCGCGCCTCAGAGGAGAGACCCTGTGAGAACACGGTTCCCGAAACTTCCCCAGAGCCAGTGGCCACCACGCCATCCCTCCCAGAATGGACGGAAGCATCTCTTCTCCAGAACAATCCTCCACTCCTGCCCTCCATTCTCTTGGACCTTGACTTCTCTCCCTTTAGGGTTCTTCCCCCTCAGCACCTCCACTCGTACCCCTTCTGCTCACTCCGTGCCCCTCCCTCCCTCGGCCACAGTGCCTGGATGCACTCACTCCACCATCCCTCCCCTCCCCTCATTCCAAAACCCACCCTATCCCTGCAACCCCAATGGCCACGCAACCAGTCCTCTGGACAAGGGAGCCACCGTGCAGTCCCTCTGCTCAAACTCTCAGCAGCAAACAGCCCACTGACGACCCCTCCCCCTCCAGAGTCTCAGGACTCCAGGGCCACTCTGCACCCAGATCTCCTCTGACCTGCCTCGTCCCCAGGTTCCTCCTTTATGCTCATGTTTCCTGGGGTTTGGTCCCAGGCCTCTGGTCCTACTCCCTCTGCAAATGTGTCCTGAGCGACAGATGTGTCCTGGGCCGTTCACAGAGAGGGGACTACACCCGCACCCTCTGCCTGGACATCTCCCCTCAACACCAAACCTCAGTGTCTCCCTGAACTGGACACATCGTCCTGGACCTCCAAACGTGTCCCACGTCAAACTCAGCTCCCTGTACCCTGGCCTCCCCAGACCAGCTTCTTCTCCAGTGTCGTCACCTCTGTGGACCCAGGACATGGCTGAAGCCAGGATTTTCTCTGCCGCCTTCACCCAGACCCACGGTAACCGCCTGTACTCCCTGTCCATCCCTTCACCCCCACGACACTGCCCTCACCTCTCAACGCTGTGACCTCAACAACATCCCAGTCAGTGGTTCCCATCCTGACTTTACAGAGGAATCACCTGGGGACCTTGAAAGGTACTGTGGGTCTCATCCCACCAGCCTGGCATGTGGCCCTGGCGCCGGGTGAAGGAGCACAGACCTGGAGCACCTCCACTCCCGGCGCCTCCCTCTCAGCTCCCTTTCCTCACAGCCATCGGCCCAGCCCTCCCCTCCCCTCCCCTCCCCCATGTTCCAAAACAGCCCCAGACCCAACTCATCTCTTCAGCAAATGAATTCCTAGACGCTTAACCTGACCCCAGCATTCAGTAACTTTCTAGCAGAGCTGCCCAATGCCAGGCATACACCAGAACACAGAGCAGAACAACCACAACACTCACTTCGGGCATTTTCACCTGATTGGTATTTTAAGAGCCGGAGGTATAATGAAGGAACAGGAAACCAGGTCAAGTCCTTGACACACAGCTCTACCACAGACTTTACTTGGAGAACTTCCACTGGCAACAAAAAGCAACTCGAGGACTCACACACACAGTCCCACACTAACACGGGAAGCACCACTGGCCTGGACTGGCTTTTAAAAAGAAAAAGAAACCCCGAAACCAGCCCAGTAAGAGATGAAACCAACAGGCCCCCATCACTGAAGTGTGTGGCTCCCACACGGCACGTTGCTCGGGGACAAGGGGCGGCGGCGGCGGCGGCCATGCCCGCGGCTCGCAGGCGTCCTGTAGGACGCGAGCGAGCAGACTTACGTGTCGGAGTCCTCGGAGCTGGAGTCCTCGTGGCTCTGCTCGGCCTTCCACCGCTTGTACCTGTCGATGAGCTCAGTCAGGTAGGACGTCTTCTTTGCGTTGCGGATTATGAACTTGTGCTTCAGTAACTCCTTGGCAGTGGGTCTCTGGAAAACAAGCCCACCAAACAACACAACAGGAAAAGCATGAGACGGTGTTCTCTACGTGCTACTGGATTCTGCCCCGAAGGACGGGCTTCCGCCTCAAACGTCCAGCAACCATGCTAATACGTAGAGGTGAAGTCCGACTTTCAAGTTTTTTTCTTTAAGACTTGTTCAAAGAATGCCACTCAGCACCTGTGTGTGGGATTCAGTGCACAGTGTGGACAAGATACCGAGTATCTCAGGGACCCTTAACATTCTTGGGGTGACCATCCAGTGAAAGCAGAGAACTTCCCGCAGGAAAACCACACGCACAGAAAGTGCTGCGGAGAATGGCGCCGAGATCACTTGTCATTACTGATGCTGGCAAGAGAGAAACCACGTTCTGCGCTACTTGGTAACTTCCTGTATTGTCTGGCTCCACCACCCCCACGCAGAAAATAGTAAGATAAACATCAAGTTCACCTAGAAGAAACTAGACAGGAACCAGGAGACACCCTTTCCTTGGATGCTGAAAGAGGACCCGAGTGCTCTTGGTTACCAGCTTTCCCAGGGGAGAAACTCCAGCTTCCTGGCTGTGCCTCCTTCCCTGTGATCAGGGCGAGGACCTCACCCAGGCCCCGGCTCCGCACAGCCACAGCCAGACGGCCTATTCTGACCTCAGCCAATCGCTCTGTCCTGGAGGATGGGAAACCCAACTACAGGGAGTCTGTTTCCCAAGAAAACCACACAGCTCAAACCGGAGCAGACGGCAGGAACAGAAACCACACGAGTCCGACCGAGTCCCCACTTGCTCAGGGTTACAAAAGCTTCACTAGCCAGAGCCAGGCAGGCTTCTCACATGCAAGCTTGTGGAAAACCCGGGTCACTTCGGGCACCTTGCTCACGCCCTGCCCACTGAGTGTGCAGCTCCAAGGATCTCAAAAGTGTCCATATGCTCAGCTTCATGTCCTTCTCAGTGCGTCTGGGATGGACATGTGAGCGCGGGGCAAGCAGGCCGATACCAGAAACACATTTTCAAAGGGAGGACGTTCGTGCAGGGGGCTGTGTCTTCTCGGGGGCTGGTGCCTTGTGGCTGGGAGCAAACTCCTGTTAACAAAGCCCAGAGCCCCCTGGACACGGAGAACAGCAGCCCCCACGTCACCTGATGAGCTGTGCACTCTACATCCCCCAGAGGCGCTTAGAAAAGGACGCTTTCCCCATTGATTCTGTTACCAAAACTGGTAACATATTAGCAAACCATGGTGCTCTTGTAAATCTAACCATCTATTTTTAAATACACATTCATAAGTGGTTGGCGGGGGCAGCCTAAGTCAAGGCTAACCCTCCTAGAATATTCACAAACAGAACAAGGACGTACGATGGCACACCCAACACCAAAATACACAGCTAACTTCAAAGAAATGTCCTAATTCAGAGAGAGAAGCAGGCTAAAACCATGCCGGCATCATCGCCACAAGACGCTGCCGGAGAGAACTCAGCAGCCGAGACAGTGAGAGGGAGGGGGGACAAGGGGACCGGCGGGCTCATGTCCTATTCCTCATCTCCTTCCTAAGACGTGTCAAAAAGACACCGAAAACATTTACTTTAAAGACACATTTAGCCATTATTTTTCAGGCCAGGCTTTGCGGTTACTAAAACAGCTAAAAATAGTTCAACCTTCCACTATAAATATTTAAAATGTTTGATTCCACATATAATACTAAGGAGAAGAGTCTCCATGCTCAGTGAAGATGAGACGCTGGAGACTCTGAAAGAAACCAGATTTTTAATCCTTAAAAGATAAACTAACAATAAAAACATACGCATAATTCAAAGCAATCAAGGATACCCATTTAGGGAAAGAGAACTACATGAGATCGTGAAGACAGCTGGTCGCCGCGATTAAAGACAGGCCAGCAGGACAGACGCGTCTAGAGCAGAGAGAGGCCCGGGACCGGGAAGCACTCACGAAGCTCGGCTCCTTGTTCAGACAGGCCTCCACGAACTCCTTGAGGGGTCTGCTGTAGTTTCCTTCCAGCGTCGGGGGGTTGTTCTTTGGAATGAGGAATAAAACCTTCATGGGATGCAGCTCGGAATGAGGCGGCTCCCCCTTCGCAAGCTCGATGGCCGTTATGCCCAGGGACCAGACGTCTGCCTGCAACAACACAGCACCGTGAGACGTGGGCAGCGGTGAGTTCCACCGACGTGCCTCTGGGGGAGAAAACCACCTCCGTATGCTTCCAAAGAGAATCATTTTTTAACTGAAAATTAAAAAGACAAGCCTTTGATGTAATTTCAGAATAGGCAACACAGAAGAGAAAGTTTAACGTACAAAACATCTTCAGCTTGGACGCGGGGGGTGGCTTTTGTGCTGACTCACTCTTCCCTTTGCTCTTGGAGGTGCGAGACGCTCCATGTTCGTTTACATCCCTGAGTCAACCGGATAGATAACCGGGCGTGAGCAGGGGTCGTGTCTGGGGAGTTGCGAGTCACCCCGACAAGCGATGATCAAAACCAAGCCCAGCTCTGCAGTGGGAGCAGGCACCCTGGTCTCAGCTCTACAGCCAGTCCTGGGACGCCAGATGGAACCCTAACCCGTGAGCCTAGTTCCTGCTCTGTAAACGGAGACTAACACTAGGTTGTTGTGCAAAATACTCCACATGGCGCCCAGAATTTAAAAGACAGGTGTGTTCACCGTGAAAGTGGAGAGCATCAGTACAACGCACCCATACGCCCAGCACGCGGCTCAATCATTAACAACCTGCCATGCAGGCTTGGTCTGTTTTTTTCGCCACTGCAGTTTAAAGTAAATCACAGACGTCGTGACCTTTCCCCCAAGTACTGCCACTTGCCAGTGTGACGGCTTTTTATTACGTATCAATATCTAAAACTTAACAGTACTTCTCAGTATCATGTAATAATTAAATTTTCTCTCAAGTGTTCAAAACAAGCCTTTTCCCAGCTGCTCTGTGTGAATCAGGATCCGATCACAGCCCAGATGTTGCAATGACCGTTAGGTCACCGAAGGCCCTTCTCATCTGGAACTGTCCACTCCCAGTCTCCCCTGTGCCACTGACGTAAGGGAGACGCAGGCCACCAGCTCTGGGTTCTCTCCACCGTCACGCAACATGCTCTTCTAGCCACTCACTTCCTGCTGAGGGACAGGCTAGTCACCACGAGGGGCCCGGCCGTGTTCACTGTGGGCCGGAATCGGGGCCTGCGTGAGGTGGCCGGTGGCCGGTGGCCAGCACTACTCATGCTAAACCTGACAGGAATGACTGAGTTACTAAGGAACGTTAACTTACTGCCTGCAAGCTACCTAGTGCTCAGCAACAACGCTGACAGAGAATCTAAGCATAACTGAGTTTGTCTGTTACTCTACCCGGGAAACATGGCATCAGATTCAGAACATGTGTCCACGTTTTAAAATAAAAGTTACCTGGGGATGGGCACTCACTTTCCAAAGCAATTAAAACTGAGGTGTAAGAAGAGATCTGTTTTACCACCATTTGGGAAAGACGTGAAATTAGCTGTAAAGGGAAAACTGACAGTGGTTTTCAATAATGAGCCTAAGTCAAAAGTTGCAAAGGCAGGTGCTCTGAGCTGCAGACACCTACTTGTGAACAGACTTTTCCCCCATGTGGACAATCCTAGGTACCACCGTCCTAAGTGACAACACAGAATTATCCATTACTGGTGAGGGACAGGGTGAGAGGATGCCAGGGGCTGCGACTAACACATGACAATTCTCTGAACCTTGGAAATATCGTGTCAAGTAAAGTTAAGCTGGCCACAAACCTGCAGAGAAAATACAATCTATCCATAGAAAATATTCCAGAAAGAACCACAAGAGGAAGGGGGGGAGAACCACGGAGAATCCCAAATCACAGTTATAACTAGTCAAAACACAGCTCAAAATGGATTCGGCGCAAACTATTTAATTAGATGCAGTATCCCAAAGGAACATGTTAATAAGCGGCATCTGGAGGTATACAAGCCTGAGCACCTGCACAGTAAGACCCGGCCCCGCCGTCACCAGGGCCAAGAGGAGGCCTGCTAGTCACCGGGCCGGACGCTCTTCCTGCCTGCACCCTTCTCCCACCTCCAGGGTGCATTACTCACAGCCAGGGGGTGGGTGATTCCTGCTCCTGAAGAGGGACCAGTGGGCCCGGCATCAGGACGGGAGGGCCAGTGAACAGGCTAACTGCGGATTCCAACAACTGATGGCTAATCCCACCGTGTTTCCACTCATCTTTTTTTTTTTCCATCAATGCACCACCTGTTTCCATTTTTCACCATGGTGAGATTGCAGAACAGTTATTTCAGACATGACTGGACACCAAAATAACTTAGCTTGTGCTTGGATGCTAGGCCTACAGATGTTTTTCTTTTCATCTCATTTTTTCCAGTGTTTTCCAGATTAAAGACTATGTACTGCCTTTAAGACCAAAAAAGGGAAGTTATTTACAAGAGAATACTGACAGCGGCCCGTTAAGCCTCTAAAGGAGTCGTCTGGTTCACAGCAAGTCTACCACGTTCTTCACCTGGACCTACAATCCTGACACAGCGTCTCCCCTTCCCCAGAGAGGACTTGGTCTGAATGTCCTTCCCTATGCCTTTGAAGTGACATGCTCTCAGATCCCCTGCAGCCCCGCTTACTGTCAGAGCACCGAACGTTACTCAGGGAAGACATAAATTGTTCAGCACAGAGCTGGGCACAACTACAGCCAAGAGGGAGTGAGTCGAGAGACAGTGTCTTCACCCAAGCCAATCCTTTCGCTAACACACCACTGTAATACTCTTACAAGAAAAACACAATAAAGATAAAGGGTCTTCCCAAAATCGGCTCCATCACTGAGCCCACAGGCTTCTTGCTGGAAGAGCAGAGTTCTCTCCTGTGGCACCAGCTCCAAAGTCTGGGGACTTCTTAAACCAAGCTACCCCAAGTCACCGTAAAAATAATAGTAACGATGAAGGTTCCTAAGGGACATGGGGCAACACAACTCAGTAATGCTGTGCTTAGACCAAGAATGCAGACACATTCAGAATAGCTAAGCAGCCAGGACAAGCAACAAGGGGCAAAGGTACTGGTCCTGGCGTGGCTGTGTTACGCAGGGCTCCAGATGCAGACGAGACTCAGGACTACAGCCTGTCAGCCTAGTGAGGGGAAGATGCTGGGGGCTATTCCATCCTTACCCACTCCACCTCCCCAGGAGGGTCAGCGTGTGGCCCCCAAGATGAAGCTTCCTCGGGGACCCCGGGGCTGGAAGCTCTTCACCTGTAACACGGGCAGTAGTGGGGAAAGCCGTCCAGACGTGCAAGCACGGAAGGACACAAGGCAGAGGTGGGGGGAGGCTGAGGAGGTCTGTGTATCCGGAGACCAGGTGTGCCCGGCAGAGAGCACAACCGCCCTGTCAGACGAGCCAGAAGGACACCCCCATACAACGTGGGAAGCAGGCTGGCGACGAGCTGCTGGCCCCAGCGTCACGCCACCCCTCGGGCCCCAGCCTCATCTGCACTTCCCACACCTCCTGTGTCAACACACCTGGGAAGCGAACTTCACAAACATTTTCTCACGTGAGTTCCAGCTAAGAGTTCCTGGGTCTGATCCAAGTAAATGAAAGAATTAGCTTTTGAGAGAAACCAGAGGGAAGGGAAAAGTCGATAAAGGTGAGCAAGAAACATGACACGTTTGTTCCCCAGCCAAGGTGCACGCCCGGTGGGCCTGAGACAGCAGCTTCATTCACCGAAAAAGAGCACGTCAGAGAAAAGCTCCCGGCCACACGGGAGCATTCCGCTCCTGACAGCTCCAAGGGACGGGGGGCAACGCTTCACGACGCAGGGGAATCTACTGCTCAGAGGCCGCCTTCGGCAGACAGCCAGAGAGGTCCTGCCCCGGAAGGAAGACGGGGAGGGAAAGGTTTTAGGCCAAGTCCTGAGGACGAAGAGCGAGGCGAGCAGCGATGAGTAACACTGAAAGCATATGATCTGAGTCCTGAGTCACAGGGGCCACCGCTGATCACTAACTGACCAGAAAGGACGAGGTGTGATCAGACAGGTTAAGAAACTCAGATTGTAGTCACAGCCCTACCAAAATCTAGAACTGTGAACTCTGATGAATGGGCCTCAGCTTGGAATAAAGAGAATGAACTGAACATCTTAAAATAATACAACCCCAGGAAAAAGCCAACAGCACAAGTGGCTGCCGAGGGGACAAGCAGCCACGGGCCTAATCCATCCCACGGGGCAAGTCATTCACAAGCAATCAACACGCCAGAGGTGACAGCTCTGCTGTGTCTTGAGGGTTGAGAACTCAGCAGTCACCTACTGGCCCATAACCACCAGGGTGCCCATGGGAGTCACAGCCATCACAGCTGCCACCACGGCTCAACAGCGAGAGCCAGGTCCACCCTGCGTGCTGGGACCAGGCACACCTGCAACCGCAGCACCGATGTCCCAGGAAAGGTGACTCTATGCCCAGTGGGCCAAGTTTAACTCGGGGGGGATCTGCCATGTGCTGAGAAGACTTCCACTGAAAGAGAAGAAATCCTGTTTGGCATGTCAATGTATCTGAATTAAGTATTTGCCTAGAAATACTGGTTTACAGAAGCTTTTTCTCTGTGGAGATCTCATGTGGAGATTTGCTGCATTCTACTTAAGAAAGCTGAAGGGCAATAGGGAACAAAGAACACAGGAAAAACTGGGAGAGCACAACACATGGCAGGTAAAGAGGTTGAAAAAGAGGAAATCAGGACTTAGCCTCATGTCGTTAAGGGCCCTCTGAGAGGAATGACCCTCACTGGGAATAAATATAATGAAGGAAGAGCCTGCAGCAACCACTAAAAGCGCTGCTCTTTCCAGATGCTGGGCTCACATTTCTGTCGATTCTTCCTGCAGGATCCTTTCTGTACTTTTCTCTTAAATACTGTTCAGAGTTCTGTTGGAGGCCCTCCCCCCGCCTCACTCTTCTACTCCAACCACCACCTGCACATCCTGACCCCTGAGGACCCACATCCCACGTGCCTCCGCCTAGCCGAGCTGGACCCATCCTCACCACCCCGGTCCTCAGTCCCCTCACACGCTGCTCCTCTGGGCTCCCCACCATCAACCAGACACGTCTGAGCTAAAATACTCAGAGCTCTCAGAGCCCTCATGACCTACGTCAAGGTACTGGCTTCACCTCAACAGGACAAGCTGTAAGGTTCAAGCACAGGAGGGACAGCTCTGCAGACCCACGAGCTGAGGTGCCCGCCCTCACCTTGGAGTCGTAGGCCGACTGTTTGATAACTTCGGGTGCCATCCAGAACGGGGTGCCCACGAAGGTGTTTCTCTTTATCTGGGTATCAGTCAGCTGGCCCGCCACCCCAAAATCAGCCAGCTTCACTTCTCCGTGTTCAGAGAGCAGCACGTTGGCAGCTGCAAAATAAAACCAAAGATGCCTCCTGACGTCATCTGCTGGACAAATTCCAACTGCTATCATTCTGGGAACATGGGCACCCTCGCCATGGTGACATCACATGCACAAGAAAAACAGGCACCAAGGGTGCGGTTTTGGTGAGCAACCCCCTCCCCGAGAGCCGCCAACCCCGGGGGTGCTGGAGGCACTGTCCCAGTGCCTGCAGGACAGCTTCCCTGGAGGAGAGAGGCAGAGCTAAAACTCCACAACTCACCCCCCACCCCAGGTATTTCAAAGGAATATAAAGAGGTTTGCTCACCTTTAATATCTCTATGAATTTTCTTCTCTGAATGCAAATAGTCAAGTCCTTTCAGTATTTCTCGTAATATGGTAGCAATCTGGGTTTCATCTAAGGGGCCAGGTTCTAACTAATAAGGAAAAAAATGATTAAAGTTACTTAAATGATTAGGGAAAAAAAAGTCTGAGATGACAGAACAGAGTCAACGTTACCTGGACAAGAATAATCAACATGTAAAATCTTCTTCACTCCAAAACAGTCATATGACCCAAACAATTAAAACCCATTTAAAGGGCCCTAAAAACCAACAAAAAACAAAAGAACCAGAGAAACTGACTTTGCTGAAAAAAAGCGATCAAAGTCAGGCCAGTGAGAAAGGCGTGGTAGCCGGCCGCACCCGCGACCTGCCCCATGAGGGCCGTCGGTCCAGAAAGCAGTACCCAGGGACCTCACAGGCCTTGCCGGGGGGGGGGCGGTGCAGAGTAGCCCAGCTCTGTCCTAACATGGGTGACAGTCACCCAAACAGCAGTGGTCAGCAAGAGAAGGCCTGGGAGCTGACTGCTTCCTGAGGTGACCCCTGCACCAGAATTTTTTAAATCTGAATTTTAAAACTTGAGGGAAGAGAGGTGAAAAGAGCTCATTCCCTAATGATTGGCATTGTGTTATGTAATACACACAAACACAGGTGTTACGTAATAAAAAACATCAGTTAATATATTACCCCAAATGGCACAGTAATTGTTTCAGAAAAACCTGAAGGAATTAACACTGACTCCTCAATGTTCTTCACTGTACGAAGACGTACGGCAGACATATCACATATCCCCATTTCAAAAGGAAAAAAATAGACAAGTTCCAGAGCTCAAACGGGACAGTGAGTCCACCATCACCTGCAGAGCAGGGACTTCAACCACAACTAATCACGTGAATTACTTCTGCAAAACCACCTAACACTCCCTCCTGACGGACTAACAGTAGAAGCAACAGAGGAAGGGGCAGAATTCTAGTAATTCACTTTTCATCTGAATGACAATGCTTGGTATGACGTTTTCAGACCTGACCATGAATGCTGTCATAACTCCAGTCCCCACATGTCAGTCACCAGGCAGCCACAACCCCGTGACACTCACTGAGTAGGTTTAAAAAAGACAGATGTGCTTAAAACCAAAGGGCATGGAAATCAAGACACCCCTTCTTCTGAGGCAGCGTTCCGACAGACACGTACACCTTCTGGAGCAGACAGTTTCACTTGTGTGTGTCTGGGCCTTCAGTGGGACAGGAGGATGGAGATGGAACAGCTGATCACTCCTGGGCCCAGGGCTGGGGCTCGAGCCAAGAGCCCCCTCCTCACTTCATACAGCTTAATGGTGCCTGGTCCACCCAGCAAGCTGTGCCCCTCTGCTCACGGGCCCAACCTGGTCTCCACGAAAATCCACAAAGCCCAGGGGGCAGGAGGGTGGCCTGTGCGGCAGCTCAAGCCGCCGCCTCACACTGAGAACCCAGGAGGAAGGGGCTTAAAGCCATCACGCTGCCCAGGTGACTAGCCTCCCGAGGGTCCCCCACATGGTAACTGAGACACGGCCCACGATCCGCAGATGGAGGCCCGCGCTGCACGCCTGGCTCCACAGGGACCTCCTCCCCTCCTTCCCCAAGTTACCTCACCCATGGTCTTGTCCTCAAGAAACACACGTGGAAATGACCATTCCTAAGGACACAATTCAGAAACCCTGCCTCGTCTGCCTTCTCCGTGCTTATCTGTGGGTGCACAGGTTGTAGGAATTTCAACACTCAGAATGAGGAAAACGCATTTCTCTCATAACCGGGGGGAAGGGTGGGGGAAAGCGGAGACTCCTGCGGATCTGCTCCTCCTCACGGCACCTGATGGCAGGAGGGTAATTGTTCAAGGTCGTTCAGAACCCTATCCCAGAGCACAGGTTCTGTTTCCTCCCCCAGCAGGTTCTCACCCAAGCAGAGGATCAGTAATACTTGGCTGGACTTAGGCTTAACCGCCTCCCCCTCCTACAATCAGGCGTCCGGAAGGGAGAGCAGAGCAGCCTGGAGTCACCGCCGAGGGGAGGGAAGAGCTGAGGAAACCCAGAGAACCCTCCCTGGATCACTAAGGGCTGGCTCTCTGATTAATCTATGCCCGGTCTGCCCTTCTAAATCTGGCCTGGGAGCCACCCTCAATGACCCCTATCTACGCGCTGGGGGGGGGGCACCGCTGACAGCGGGGAGGTCCCGCGGTGAGCCGTCAGAGGTACTGGGCTGTCCTCTCCAGCACAGGGCTCCTTGCTGAGGGTGAGACCAGGCTGAGCTGAGTCCTCTATTCACATTCTCCACCATTAACACTTCTGAACAGTATAAACACAGTCCTCTCGGTCATTAAGAGGACTGTGAAATCTTCAAATAATGTTTTCAAAAGAAAGACTCCCAGGAAAACGCAGCCAGTACCCCATCTCTGGGTGACTCTGGACGCCCTCTCCCAAGTCTGCTTCCCCTTCCGCCTCTGTAACGGGGACTCTCAGTATCACACGGCCCCCCTGACTAGGGACCACAGCCGCCAGCAGCACGTGTGGGCCTGTGACCAAGGTCTTGCCTAACGAATGTGAGAAGTGACACGTGCCCCTCACCATCACCAACCCCCCTGCCCCGGCCCGGTCCTGGCTTTGAAACGCCAGCAGCCGGAGAGGACGATGATGGGAAGTCCACGGGAAGCCTCCCCACCACGGCAGGGCCGAGACCACTGACCCACGTGTGGGAGAGAAATAAATCCCACTGCGTGTGAGACACTGTTTGGGGGCCACTACAGCAGCAGCTTGGCCTAAACATTACGGAACACGCCGCCTCATTTTAAAAGAAATCGTGTCGCATATTCTTTTTTAAGTCTGTCAAACATCTCTGCCTGACTGAGTGGCCAATTTACGCAGCCAAGCTCCTTCTTTTAGAGTCCAAGGCGGTCCCTTAGATTCTCGGGCAGCGAGGACAGACTCATCTTTTCATCAGGGAAAAGTCTTCCAGTCCCAGGTCCTCCCGGCTAACCCACGCCCCAGGTCTCCCGCTTCGCCTCCCTCTGCTTTGTTTCCCTGTAGCGCTTTCCCACACGCGTCTGACCAAGTGCCTCCTTCCCCCAGCAGAATGTAGCTCCTAAGAGAGGCTTCCTGCTGCCCTGTTCACTGCTGTCACTCCCAACGGCCAGACCGGCACCTGACATGCAGCATACAACAAAAATTTTCTGAATGAAAAATGAATTTACCCAAAATCTGTCACATTTTAAGTTATATGGTCTTGGACTTACATGATGCCTACAACGCTCCTAAATTCTGGTTCCCTAGAAGCAGATGGAATTTGAGAAATTATTTATATAGTGGTTTTCAAATTATATTCACTCAAAGGACCCAGTATTTCCTCAGAGTGGTCTTGGGGATCCTGCAAACGTGTCTATTCAATTCATTCAATTTTCTTTGAAATTAAAAAAAAATAGCAGATCGAACACACTCAAAAGTGCACAGGGCCAGGGCTTTGAAGCCAGTCAGAAAAAGGTCCAAAGTCCAGCTCTGTTTGCTAGCCAGGACCCCTAACTTCTGAGTTTCCATCTCCTCAATTAAAACGAGATGATTCAGGGACATTCAGAAAGGGAGGCCTGGTTCTTGTCATCAGTCACTCCTGTGGAAAGTAGATGGCACCCTGCTGGGGCTCACACCACATGGAATTTTCTTTGTAATAAGTGCAGATAATTTTATACTTCCTTCCAGCTGCAATGTCTAAAATTTCACAGGCTTCAAAGCTCCAAAGAAAGTTGCCACTAAATAAATTAAATCGTTGTGGCAGTAAGAATGAATAAACTGAAGCATTTAGAGACTAGAATTGCTGCTCTGAAGGACTCAGTGCTGGAAAAGAGTCCCCACACGCAACTTTCTGTATGCCACAAACGAAATTCACTTAAGATAATAGTGAATCTAATTATACAAAATGAGGCAATTTTCTACATTTCTGTAGTATTTCCCAAAAGAGTAAAAAAAATGAAAAGCAAAGCAAGTCATAAAATTTATTGAGCTGTTTCCTTGTTTTCTCCATTTAAATATAATTGTTTATACCATATTAATTTTTTTTTCTTGAAATTCCCTTTTGAACACTATTTTGACCAAGTGCTTACATGTTTTATGTAACCCAATGTGATTTTTCTAATTGGGCATGTAAGACTTTTGGAGATACATATAGTTTGAGAGGTTTACCTCCTCCTCTCCCCAAAATAGTATTACTATGAGAAAGTGAACTCCTTTTAATCAAAGGGTATTTCTTAGTGAATAAAATCTGTGTCGACTATAACCACTAAAAACTATATCTTCCAGCTCTGAGAGCAGTGAAAACCGCAGACCCATCACCCTGACAAATCTGTAGCAAGCAGGACACATCCTCTTAACACAAAAATGATAGATCAGGCCTGACCTGGAGATCAGCGCTCACCCAAAAAGCCCAGCTTTTACAGGACGGGCAGGGAAAGAGCGCCGATTACACTGACTTCCCTGCACAGGTACGAGATGTCAGGGGCTAAACAACTCTTTTAATTTGTTAACTGTTAAAACTTGTTTTGCATATACTGTGTTTCAGGGATGACTTAAGTAACACTTATGATTTGCTGGTCATTTCTGAGCACTTTGTCAGAGACCAAAATCTATCCATGTTCTTCCATGAGAATGGAGCTGCAGGCTGTGACGCTGAGGTCATCCTACACCAAGCTCCCACTCTGGTGTGAGTGGGCTGGTGCACCCAGTGCCACAGCAGCGCCAGGCCAGGTCGGAGACACAGCCACTGGTGGGGATCCAGCCTCACCATAAACACACTGTGAGCCCAGCAAGGCCTCTGCGTGTGCATCCAGGAAACCCAAGTGTGCGCTCCCACTGAACCTGACCATTGCCTCGTGTGGTGTCATGCCATCCCCCACCCCTAAAAGCAAATTTAAATTTTTTAAAATTCTAATTAATTATAAATGAAAATGTTCCACATATATTTTAGGAGCTACCATCTAAAACATGAAACAATGATGGGGTATCAGCTCCTCAATGTTAAAATCAGTTTCAGAAAATAAGAAACTGTTCTTAGGTCAGACAGTGGTGGGCAACAACCCGCATGGCTGCTTGGGATGAACTCACTGGTTTCCCACGAAAGAGCAAAACTGGTTTCAAAAGGAGACCTATAATTTTCAGCAATATTGTCAGAAGCAGATATTCCTACCATAAGGCATAGTTTGGTCCTTTCTTCATGCAGCTGAAGAGGGGAAACAGAAATGGATAAAAACAGAATTATCTTTGTAAGCAAGATTTACTGGTAAGCAGACGGCTTCACCAGGGAATTCTACCAAACATACAAAGAAGAACTCATACCAGTCTTTCTCAAACTCTTCCAGACGATTGAAAAGGAGGGAATACTCCCAAACTCATTCTATGAAGCCACCAACACCCTGATACCAAAACCAGGCAAAAACACTACCAAAAAAAGAGAATTACAGACCAGTATCACTGATGAACATAGATGCAAAAATCCTTAACAAAATATTAGCAAATAGAATTCAACAGCACATAAAAAAGATTATACATCATGATCAAGCGGGGTTCATCCCAGGGACACAAGGCTGGTTCAACATATGCAAATCAATCAATGTAATACACCACATCAACAAGAGAAAGGACAAAAACCACATGATCATCTCAACAGATGCAGAAAAAGCATTTGATAAAATGCAACACCCATTTATAATAAAGACTCTCACCAAAGTGGGTATAGAGGGAACATATCTCAACATCATAAAAGCTATATATGACAAACCTACAGCCAGCATAGTACTCAACGATGAAAAACTCAAAAGCTTCCCATTAAGATCTGGGAGAAGACAAGGCTGCCCCCTAACACCACTCCTATTCAACATAGTCTTGGAAGTCCTAGCAACAGCAATCAGGCAAGAGAGAGAAATAAAAGGGATCCAAATTGGAAAAGAAGGGGTACAAGTGTCACCATATGCAGACGACATGTTACTATATATAGAAAAACCTAAAAGGTCCACACAAAAACTACTAGAACTAATCGAAGAATTCAGCAAAGTAGTGGGTTACAAGATTAATGTTCAAAAATCAGTTGCATTTCTTTACACTAATGATGAATCAACAGAAAAAGAAAGTAAAGAAACAATCCCCTTTAAAACATCACCCAAAGCAATAAAATCCCTAGGAATAAATCTAATCAAGGAGGTGAAAGAATTATACACAGAAAACTATAAACCACTGATGAAGGAAATTAAAGAAGACGTAAAACAAATGGAAAGATACCCCATGCTCCTGGATTGGAAGAATCAATATTGTTAAAATGGTCACACTGCCCAAGGCATTCCACAGATTTAATGCAATCCCTATCAAATTACCCAGGACATATTTCAGAACTAGAACAAATCACAATAAAATTTATATGGAACCACAAAAGACCTAGAATTGCCAAAGCATTACTGAAGAAAAAGAAAGAGGCTGAAGGAATAACTCTCCCAGACTTCAGACAATACTATAGAGCTACAGTAATCAAGACAGCATGCTATTGGTACAAAAACAGACATATAGACCAATGGAACACAATAGAGAGCCCAGAAATGGACCCACAAACTTTTGGTCAACTAGTCTTTGACAAAGGAGGTAAGAATATACAGTGGAATAAAGACAGTCTCTTCAGCAAATGGTGTTGGGAAAACTGGACAGCAGCATGTAAATTAATGAAGCTAGAACACTCCCTTACACCATACACAAAAATCAACTCAAAATGGATTAAAGACTTAAACATAGACAAGATACAATAAACCTCCTAGAAGAAAATATAGGCAAAACATTATCTCACAAACATCTCAAAAATGTTCTCCTAGGGCAGTCTACCCAAGCAATAGAAATAAAAGCAAGAATAAACAAATGGGACCTATGAAATTTACAAGCTTCTGCACAGCAAAGGAAACCATAAGTAAAACAAAAAGACAACCTACGGAAGGGGAGAAAATTTTTGCAAATGAAACCCACAAAGGCTTGATCTCCAGAATACACAAGCAGCTCATACGACTTAATAAGAAAAAAGCAAACAACCCAATCCAAAAATGGGCAGAAGACCTAAACAAGCAATTCCCCAAGGAAGAAATACAAATGATCAATAGGCACATGAAAAAATGCTCAGTATCACTAATTATCAGAGAAATGCAAATCAAAACTACAATGAGGTATCACCTCACACCAGGCAGAATGGTCATCATTCAGAAGTTCACAAATGAAAAATGCTGGAGAAGCTG